ATGCACACAATCGGACAAATATGTTATTACTGTAAATAATTATGAACAATAAAAACTGAAAATAAAAACTATGAACTGTTAATAAGGAAAATATGTGATTTGCTATGCAGTTTCCAGAAAATTATTACAAGTCCAGAAGTGCATACGAGTCGACAAAATCTACAGTTACGTGACAGAACCCAAATGAGAAGTCTGGAGTCACGGCGAATACTTCTAGCGAGTCACCCCTCTAAAAACGTCATTACTGTGCCAATGACATTGAACTTTGCTCTTTCATATAGCAGCAGTTTCCATCTTCAAATAATCAAAATAAACTTGATACCCTGGCGAAGCATGTCTATTGTTTCATAACGACTGTTCCAGGAGTTTTTTGTCTTCCCAATTTCTCAAGATAAACGTCCCAGGGTTGTTTTGTGTACTAGAAGGGCATGTTTATTGGCAGCATTTCTTGTATTAATTTCCATTGCACAAAAAAAAGAAGAAGCAAATACTGTTACTGAAGCGCATAATTTGCATGAATTTTTCTTCCCGGCCATTCACGCAAACTGCAAACGAAGTTTTTTACCTCATCCATAGTTGTTGACACTTTGCAACCGCCTTGATCATCCGACGTATTTTGACCCCGGATTCTGACCTTGCGTTCCGGCTACATGTACTGCCCTTTCATACCAGTTCAATTTCCTTTCATTATTACATCCAAATGTCATGATATTTAATATTTAAAACCAACCTTTATTTCACAGTCACTTTAGTTTTCACTTTTCTAAAATTATTTTACTGATCAAAAGACTTTCAATCTCCCATAGTACTTCCGCAGACACAGCGTCGATCGCCAACATATCTACAAATAACCTCGCTCTCAGGAGCTGAGGAATAAATCAACGTTGCCTTGCTTTAAAATGAGGCTCACTTCCATGTAATATGACTCAGACCATTAATTCTTTAGTGGTCTGAGAATATGATTACCAACAACTCACCCTTTACGGCCTGTATCTTTACACGCTGCACATTGGTGGCTTCCCTCCTCTTCGTTTGTCGGCATCGACGATGAAATACCACACTCCAGACACGTAGTCTAAACGAAATATACCAAACTTATAATATCAAAACTCATAATTGTATTTTCGTTGTTTTTTTTTCACTCAGATATAGTATGTCAACATTTCTCTTCGTACATATTTCTTGTTACAACGTAATTTGAGTTTGTAGCTTATTGTATTGTAAGCCCAAACCCAGCCCCTCGATCAAAACGTGTATCAAATCACAGTCGTTGTGGAGGAACTGTGATCAAATATTACAAGCAGGATCAGGCCATGTGTACATACAAGGTTGTTTCTGCCACCGGCATGAAAACATGTTATCCGTATTTAAACAGTGGGCTTCGTAATTACATACACAGCGATTAACTATTGTCACGTGTAACACAATGGGTGCTAGTCATAAGATAGTTTAACAGAAATAATCAATTACCGATCCAACGCCGTCACAGAAAGAACAGGTGATCTTGCAATTCCCTTGACAATGTGCGCATGTCTGAAAAAATAGAAGCATGTTGATATTGGGGGACTCATAATAAACTAAATGATTTTAGTTTTAAAAAATATAAAATTTTCACAGGATTCCTGCATCAAACATACGTACCTTTATCTGTTCAGAGTTTGGAACCGCAACGTGAGTAGCGCTATCCTCAAACGTGTTGGGAGGTTGAATGTCGATCTTCCAAGGTTCAGGAATCGAATCTTCGTCAACATGAGGAGTGTTTTCCTGGTCCCCTAGTGCAAAAACGCATTATCAATAAAGTTAACGAGAATGCAATATAAAGGGAAGTAATGCACGGTTCAACAATGTATGTATGTGTATCTTTGTATAAGCATGGAACTATTATAGTTCCATGGTATAAGTGTCATGTCCATGATTCCGGGAATCGGTCTGCTGTTTCTGCTGATCACTAAAACGATTCAAGCAGTTTAAATGGGTGGTAAGGGGAAGTAAGTAAAGAGGGGATGGTAATGGGACTGTATAGTTGAAGTGGTCTTTAGATAAAACATATGTTCATGTGTCTGTATACAACGCTTTCACAACTTTATCCGAACAAAGACGGCGACGTGCGCAATTGATTAATACGGTGTTCATGTAAGTCTTTGGAATTTTGTTATATTTTGAGAATATAATGCTTATTGCCATACAAATTATATATGGAAACAAAAGTGGAGTGACGGGCCATATTTTCAGATAAACGTACGCAAATTGTTTAGTTCATACAGAGGACTCTATGGGAAAAAGTTAAAACACAACCTGACCAATTTAATTAAAAAATCATTGTAATTTGTTTTGGAAATGAGATAATGAAACATTGTATCAATATATTATTTAAAAACATATAAAAAGGGAGTACGGGCCTATTTGTAAAAATACGCAGTCTTGGAAGTATAAAACCACATGTGTGTTAGCGAATATAAGATACAAATGTACGGCTACTAATGAAACTCGCGCATATTTTCAAAAACTTACCATCATACGGGCTTTCAACAAACTTCGACGACCTGGTTTCGGTAAATGACTCGAGTAGGTACTGAAATGACGAAATACTAGACAGTGAAGTTGTTACCATAGTACACAAAGGTTACAATAGGTAAAATAGACATAAGTGCAAGATGTATATGATTTCGGTGATTATCTCTGGGAATCTAAAATTCATAAAGTAAAAATCCAAACTGTAAATCTGTCCGAACCTTGCAGAAGCGGAACACAATTTTGAATGACATTACAATTATGACCTATCGTCAAATAAATATAATTGTTGATAAATTAATGTATTGCGATTTCAAATATTTATTTCAGGGCATTTGTTTGCGAATGTCATTTTATCATTGTATATTTCAACGCAAATTTCATCATCAATGAGATCTATTACAAAATGTTAAAAAATGGAACACGGGGAAAATTACATTTGTTTTACCAAATATATAATAATCATTCTCCCAACAAGGATGTATTAATGTAACATAGTCGTCTTAACCTATGTAATTCACCATTAGATAAGAATCAGGATGGAAGTGTAATAAAGCAGTGTAATAATGTAGTGGTTTTCAATATTATTTTGTTATCTGC